GATGAAATGGAGGTGGGAGCTACAAAATTAGGCTACCAACACTAGATAATTTTAAGCTTAAGTCAATACTGCACTGTAATTCTCTTATTTTTATCTTTTTTTTTTATTTCCCATTAAGAAGTTGGACTAGGATGTCAATAAGAATTCTATCAGAATCATCCTATAAAAGTGAGTGTAAGGAATCCAATCGACTTTAGATTCCGAATAAAGACATTAACTTTTTAGGGTTTCACTAAAAAAACCTTAACCTTATGGAGAGATAATCGAAAACAAACAATAATCACAAAAAACACAAGAGGATTTTACGTTGGTTCGATAATTTGCCTATGTCCACGAAAGGATGAGGAGTATACTCAATTAGGAAGAAGTAGACACATAAACACTTTCTTCTTATCATCTCACAAGAGTAATCTCTCCGGCTTCTTGTAGATCTTCACAATAAGCATAAATACTCTCTTGTGAGTCCTCACAAGAGTAGTCTCTATTTCTTTTTCTTCTTCTTTTTCCTCATCTTCTTGACCGTTTTTTCTCCTGTTACAAGGACCATATCAAGGGTTATTTATAGATTTATTTGCTTCTCATTTGAGTTCATGTAGGATTCCTTCCTTTGATCAATTCTAATCCCTACAGGCTCGTGGATCTAAGATGTACGTATAGAGGAAGGGTGAATATGATTGCCTACTGTTTTTCGATATCTCAAATAATATGCAGTGAAAATAAAATAAATAGTTAAAATAGTAAACAAAGCAAATAAACTTAGACCAAATCACAGTCAGAACACATAAGAATTTTATAATGGTTCGGATAAACAATAGGGGCTTCCTCACAATGTGAAAGTTCTCCTGAATCACAAGCCTGATTTAGTAGGCTTATAAGACCAAAGCCCTAGTTTCTCCTAAACTAGTTGTTTGCCCTAAACTCTTCGCACACGAATATTCCTAGCTCTACTAACCAATCCCCTAATTAATCCCGGCTTGAGTGCACTGTAAATCCTCAATTCATCTCTACTTGAATATGCTGTAAAAATAAGTTTAAACCAAAAATAACAAATATCAATTAAGCGCAACTAGATAGACTTACAACCATTACTTTATTAAGATCGTTTTCCAAAAGATATATTAAGATATATTGTGGAGATCGAAGAACGACCATGAAACTGAGATCGAAGGGTAGCACTCCTAAAATGCTTGATGATTTGATGATGAATAGCAACATCGAGGATGCTTGCTGAGAAACCTAAAAAGATCCCTACAACAAATTGAAAGCCTAACTCTCTGTCTCTTCCTTTTTCTTTTTCTCTCTGATTTAGGTCAAGAATATAATGAAAAATGCGAGGAAAGAACTTTATAACCCTAGCAATGAACGACTTAGATCAAATCCAAATCAAATATGAAATCTAACATGTGATCATCGATGATCTAACTTGATCACCCATGGTGAAGTGATGATAATCAATGATTGATTTACTTAATTGACAATCCATATGCCTCTGTTAAGTTTAATAATCGACGATGGCAACTGATCATCGATGGTCCATATTGGATCATCGGTGGTCAATTCTCAATCCTCGATGACCAGCGTTATGAAATCAGCTATTGAGCTTATTTTCGACACCGATCACCCCATTCTTGTTTCATACATGTATAAACATGTATTAGATCATCTCAAACACATATAATACTGAAGTAAATATTTGTTATTATACAAATAAGAAATATTGTACGGACAACATCCTAATGTTGGACCCTAGAGGGGGGGTGATTAGGGTCAAGAGGCTCTAATATGCAATTAAAAATCAGCACAAGCAAACCACAAAACAGAAATGCGATAAAAGTAAGAGAGATAAGGTTAGGAGTTCGTTATCCTTGACGCGCGACGTGTTAACGAGGTTCGGCCCTCTGGCCTACGTCCCCGCTCCCCACTCTCGAGGAGAAATCCACTACACACCCGGTTTGGAAGCCGGAACTTCGTCTACACAACGATCTCCACAGATCTCTCTCACTACACAGTTTGATCTCACAGATCACACTCCCTCACAGTAGATCTCCACAGATCTCACTCACACAGCAGAAGAAAGAAATGCAAGAACCTCTCTTTACACAGCCCTTATAGCAAAGAGAATGTATACTGAAGCTGGGAGGTGAATCACACTTGAAACAGAGAGAAAAGCAGAGTTTTGAAAATTTACTCAGGAAACAGAAAAAGCTCTCTGGTTTTTCAAACGTTAGGGCTGGGAAGAAGAAGAGGTCTGGGGGGTTTATATAGAAAAGTTTAAATCATTTTAAAATAAAAACAAATCTTCCCAAATGAGATAATAATCTCTTCTTCAGACCCTCATCACAGACTGTGCCAAACACTAACAAGTGAAAGCACAGTAAACGATGTAAATGACCGTTTAAAAAAGTCACGGCTGACCAGAGGCAAAAATCGGTTGACCGAAGGAAATTTCGGTCGACCGAAAAATGCCTTCGGTCGACCGACCGAAAAATTCGGTCGACCGAC